AGTGAGGCTGAAGTGCTGTTCAGAGGTGCTGCTGAAGTACACATGCTGTTAAGGGTGGGAGGGGAGAAGGAGGAATTATATCTCAGGGCTCAATGCCTTCAGAGCTGTGACAATCAGCTGAGAGCTTGTACTCCCAAAATCTGATGTGCATGCACTCCATTCAGACACTAGATGTTGGATATGAGACAAGGAAAAATCCTGACATCTGTTTGTAGCATTTCCCAACAATATTGCCATTGCATGCTCTGTATTTGGGAGGCAAGGCTTATGGATTGTGGCACAGGACTGGGATGCAAAGCTCTGATTGTTCTGTACCATTTTCTTTTCCAAAGGCAGAAAAAGTGAAAAGCATGCCCATAGAGGAACGAAAAGCCAAAGCTGCTGCAGTCAGTACAAGCAGGCTGCTAACTCAGGAAGACTTCAAGAAAATACGTCTTGCCCAGCTTTCCAGAGAACTTAATTCTGCACCTGGCAAAGCTGCAAAGCGGAAATATATTGAAATAGATGATGAAGAGGAGGAGGAGGGCAGGTAGGATATGGGCTGTTGAGTGCTTTTTCTCACTTATCCTCTCCTGATGCAGCTGTTCATTGCAGTAGGGCACAGAGCTCTGCTGCTCATCAGTGTTCCCTGGTAACAGCCAGAGCCAGAGTGCATCCTGGGCTCGGGGGTTGGTTTATACCTGGGAAAAATATCATCAGGAGCTTGTGCAAGGTCTGAGACTGTTTGACTTTTTCAGGCCTAGAGGTGTGAGAGGGAGTGTTTTGTAGCAGTAGCTGCCTGGTTATAGCTCCAGTGTTTCTTACACCTGGTGAAAAAAAGTAGGACTTGAAATATAAGTGGGTGACTTTTGTAATGGATATCCCAAGCATGAGGAGCATCCTGAAGGGAACAAGAAGTGTTTGTGTCTAAATTGATGGTGAGACAGTGGCCTAGGATGGGTGAGAGACAAAGGGTGAAGTGGGCATCTTGTTTTCCTTGCCAGCTGAAGCTTTGTGTGGTGACATTTATTGGATTTGTGTGTAGGGGGGAGTTGCTTTCACTCAGAGATATTGAACATCTGCATAAGAAGCCCAAGTCAGACAAGGAGACCAGATTGGCAACTGCAAAGGTGAGGTACTGGTGTGTCCTGTATCCTGTCCCTCTGGGTCTGGGTTTGTCTTCTGCAGGAGGAAGTGCTGAGGCTGCATTTCAAAGGTAGGTGCCAAGCTGCCATGTGGGTTTTGAGAGGTTTGGTTCTTTGCTGTTGCATCTTGGCTGTGACACATACGGTGTCCTGGTGGTCACATGTGACCATGAAAATGCAAACAGATGCAATTTTCACTGTGACTTAAGAAATACAGCCAGTATGGGAGAAGCCATGTATGAACACAGTCATGCAGAACCCAGATTTGTTGCTATTGCCATAGAACCTGTTACCATCAGGCAGGTGATGTTGATAGTAGGTGAAGGAAAATGACCCCTTATTACTCTATTGCGCTCTCTATTCTAGGCTGGAAAAACAGACAGAAAAGAATTTGTGAAAAAGAAAACCAAAATTAACCCATTTGCCAGCTCTTCCAATAAAGAAAAGCAGAAGAACAAGAACTTCATGATGATGAGGTACAGCCATAGTGTCCGGACCAAGAACAAGCGTTCCTTTAGGGAGAAACAGGTAATGTTTCGTGATGGAGATGGATGGGGCAGTGTGAGCAGTGATTTGTGGTGCAGGTGTGGTGCTCCCTACTTTCTGGCCTGAGGTGCTGTTCCTGTAACTCTGAGAAAGCCTGTGGCTTGGCTTGCCCCACTCCTGCCCCAGAGGAAGAGCTGCTTTGCAGATTGTTGTTCACTCTCCATAGTCTGACCTATCACAGACTCATCTGTTCTGGCATAGAGGTCATCTAATAGCTTGTCATAAATGTTCCTGAGGAATAGAAGCAAATGCTGTTCAGTTAAGCAGTAGTTTGACACTAATACTGCTCTCAGTGGTGAAGCCCCTGCCAGTCTAGGGTTTTACAAGGTGTTGCTTATTCAACTCATCCAAATGCGTTCAAGAAACTTTACAATAATCCAGTGGTCCAGTTGTTTTTTCTTCCCAGATGGTGTTTTGTGCAAGTGTTTACATGCAGCTTGAACTTAGAGTTGTTTCCAGGAGCATACACTTTATCCAAATGATATTTGTCTGCAATTTCTTCCCTTAGGAAGGGCAAGGCAGGAACTATTAGTGGACTCAGTAGAGAATATCTGAAGCTTTTCTGTTGATCAGGAGCATGTAGTTTAATACTAGTACATGTCCTCTGTACATGTTTATTTGGCATCATTCTGCCTCACTTCAGTTAAGGCTGACAACATTGAAACCAGCTCTCAAAACACACACAATAGGCTGCAAATGAACAATCCAGGCACTTTAAAAACCTGCTGTTTACAGTTATACTTGGCTCAGTTATTCTAAAAAAACATCTTGAAGCATTTTGTCCTCACTGAAGTTTTAAATTCAAATGTAATGCCTAAACAGCATTTATTCATACTTTTTTCCCCCATGAAAGTTAGGCTGCAGCACCAGTCTGTTAACCATGAGTGTTTTGAGTGGGTAGGAGGATCTTCGTTGTATGGCACTGCATTCTGCTGTGCTTTTTGGTGCTAAGATAAAATGGCCTGCTTGCTACAGTCCAGAGCTAGCTTCTCTACTAGGAGCATCACAGTACTACTGTGTTTTAAGTACTACATCACATTACTATACGTTTGAAGCTATTACTTAAAACAAGTTGTATGTACAGTAAGATCTCTTTAGAGTGATAATGACACTTGTAAAAATTTCTCCTTCCCCCTTGAAAAGTAATTTTGTAATACTTCACGAAACACCAATTTTACTTACCTCTCAGCTGAACTGTAACTTTCTAGGTATCTTGCTCAAAGTGAGATAGAGTAGTTTGTTCTCATCTTCATTGTGTAGGATCTGGTCATGCCTAGCTCTTTAATTGTACTGTGGAGTTTAGGTACATAACCCCAGTGTTTCTGCCACTCTAACTGTTAGCATTTGCATTGCTCCCTGTCTGAGCTAATGAGCTCCTAGTGTTTTTATCAGAGGTTAAAGAAATTGAAAAGAGTTCTAATGTGGTAGTGTTGCTTTCTCAGTTATGCTCCTTACCTGAATATTCCCCTCTTGTTTTGTGGTTAGCTGGCTCTTAGAGATGCACTTCTGAAAAAGAGAAAACAGCTGCTAAAATAAATGCTGGAGAGAGCTTCATCACCCTTGGAGAAGTTGCCCTGGAGATGCTGATTTGCACCTACCATCACGCTGGGGGAAAGGAGGACTGTGGTGCCTTATGGATTTAGCTCTGATCTGTTTGGAAATGCAAATGGAACTCCTGCTAGCTGGTGGATGCTGCATCAATAGGACACAGGCCTTAATCCTTGGAGGATTTTAATTTTGTTTTAAAGTGTTCTAGGGAAGAAGGCAATTATATTTTTATTTCATGTAATTTACTTACAGTGGGTTTTGTATGTGTAAGTATTAAAATACACAACAGTAAGGTAAAAATTCTACCTGAGGCAATTATTGACTAAGACACAGAAAGCAAAAATATTCTGGTCAGTCTATAAAACATGTGGGTGTAGTGTCTGTGCCTGTCTTAGGGGACTGTCTGTACAGATGGAGTGAGCTGTTGTCTGAGTAGCTGGCTTTGACCAATTTAATAATACCAAGTTCAGCTGTGATGCAGCTAAAATTAATTCAAGCATTATGGGGAAGAACAGTTCATTATAGCTTACTAAGAAAAGAAAAATACAACTAGTGTATTGGGAGATAAGGGTTTTTTGTTGCTATTTAAATACAAAAAAAAAATCACATACCAGAGAAAAAAAGGAATGTTTTTCTATTGTGGTGTGCCTTCTGCTGGGACTTGCCAGTGACTCTTGGCAAGTACATGCAAAAATCACATTGGTGTCTGAATTCTTTGTCTAAGGTTGAACTTGTGCTTTAGCCTTGACCTCTGTTGGGACCATTAATGGATTCTTTGTACCTTCCCCAGCCACCTGTTCTAATGGAGTTGATCAAGTATTTATAACTTGATGGAGTTATTTATACTGTCCTTTTTCCAAGTCTGTTAGAGATTGATTTCTTTGTGATGCAGAAACAGGTGCCACAGGCACAGTACAATGGCAATGCATTTGGTGGGGTGCTTTTTTCCTGTCTTTTTAGGAAGCCAGATTCATGTTCTTATCCCATGTAGGAATTCACTTAACTTAGGTATTGGTTTAATATGTATTTGTAATAACTTTAATTCTTTTGTATGGATTTTGTTTGTTTTGTCACACTGCTTCCTAGAGCAGAAAACCTTAGAGAAGCTTAAGGGAAAGAAGGACAGAGTAGGGTGGGGTTTTTTGGTGGTTTTTTTTTTTTTTACAGCTCTGTTTTATTCCAATTGTACGTTCCTGCTGAGGGAAGGGGAGGGATTGGTACTCAGCAGGGAGCACAGTGAGCTCTCAGGTGGAGGAGCCACCTGTAGCTGGGAACCAGAGCGCTGTTGGGATGGAGTGTGGAGCAGGGGCTGGAGCCAAAGGTAGCGGGGAGGAGAAGGCCAAGTACAATCTGTACACCACAGTTGTACTGCTAGGGGCGTTTTTTCTAGTGAGCAGTTTTTCTTGTGCATGTGTCCAGAAACTAATACCCTCTGACACTGAGAGAGAGTGGTCATATTTTGCCCCTGTGGTAGAGGACCACGGTCTAGTCTCCTCTTTCCCGGTTTCCCTCTTGTTTACAGCTTTGCTGTGTCAGCCAGCATGCTGACAGCTCTGCCAAGCGTGAGTTTGTCCCCTCTGCCCTCAGTGTGGAAACGACAGTGTGGGACCGGCTTTGATCAATGTGGCCCAACAGCAGCAGCAGCAGGGCCGGGTCAATGCACAGGTTACCCTGTACCATGCACCTGCTGCTCGGTCCCGTGTCTCACGGGACGAAGCGGGCTCGCAGGCTGCGGGCGGGCCGTGACGCCTTGGGGCGGGCAGGGCCGGGGCGGGCCCTGCGGCGTGAGGAAGGGTGGGTTGGCCCCGGGGCGCCGCTGCCGCTCCATCCTGCGCCATGGGCTGCGGGCCGTGGGCGCTTCTGGCGCTGCTGTGCGGGGTGGCGGGGGCGGCGGCCCCCCTGCGCTGCAACGTGAGCCTGGACAGCCCGGCCGAGCAGCGCTGGCTGCCCGTGTTGCGGCACTTCGAGCCCGCCTTCCTGCGCGCCGCCGTCCAGCGGATCATCGAGTGCGTGCGGCCGGGCGGGCGGGAGGGGGGACGAGCGGGGCAGCGCCGGGAGGGCTGGCGGAGCAGCGCAGGGCTGCCAGCTGCCAGCCGCTGGCCAGCTCTCGGCTGACCCCTCCTCGGCTGTGCCTTGCAGCGAGAGCGTACCCAAATGGGTTCACCAGGTCATCCAGCCCATAGCAGCCGAACTGGAGCTTTTCATGCCCCAGCCCTTCGCGGGAGAGATTGCGGGGATGTGCAAAGCACTTGGAATCAAGCTCGGAGATGGAATCCTGCTCAACTTCGCCTACGAATCCACTGCGTAAGTGTTGAGTACTTACATGGTCTCGTACACGTGAGGGGAGAGCTTCAGTTCAGCGTGGGGGAAGGCATGTGTTGGGTTACTTGCACTCTTGGTTCTGAGACCACTTCATCTGTTCAGCCAGAAGGTTTCCTTCTCTTTTGGCAGATGGAATGCTCAATGGAACGAGAAATGGTCATGTTTTCTATTGGGAAGTACAGCTCCTATCTGTCGTAGTTTTGTGTATGTACATACATACAGGCATATGTACATATATATAAACGTATTAAAGTACAAAAATCATTTTTGCTGGTAAGGTATATCCATGCAAAAGTAGAGATCATTTATGTTTGAAGGGGATGTAATGTTCTCTGTCTCTTAAAAATGGCCAAAAAGGAGGCTAGGTGCTCTCTCATTAATCTGAGATAAAGTTACTACTAAACTACTTTCTGGATGAAAGGTCACCATGGCTGCATAATTTCACTTCTCGATTTGAACAGTGGAAAATGACTTTAGCATATTTATGGCAGCAAACAAAATCTCAGTGAAAAAATACTGACTTTTTTGTCTCTTTTTGCCCTAGAAACAGGGTGCAGAACACTTGGTGTTGCCTCTGGGGAGCCTAAAATATTTCTCCATATACATTTTAGCCAATATCAAGGCATATGGCTCCTTGTTTGCATTTGGATCATTTTTTTCTTAATGTGTAGTACTCAGTGATAATTTTTTTTTAATAAGCACTAATATTGAATATTATATATTTAACTGCTGGCTCTTTTAGTGTTTCACAGAGGATACTTGCCATACTTTGCCCTGGTGAGGCCCCTGAAATTCAGTTTCTTGGCTTGGATACTAGAAAACCCCCATCAACTGGGAATAGCCTACTTGTGTGAAGAATTGTTTACCTTTATTTTTGAGAAGCAGAGTTATGCATCACTGAAATGACCAACTCAAAACTACAGAGAATAGAAGCTAATTCCCTGCCAATGCAATATACTTTACCAAAAAAACCCCTGTTTTAATGAAACTGAACTTGCTACACAAGGAATTAGAGCATTCTTCCTTTCTAGAGAGTAGTCTGTTATTGAAATGGCTGATACATGAACCAGTTTTCTTCAGTTTTATTGCTGGGACTTAATTTGAATGTATCTACTCATGATTATAATTATACAGTCCAAATGGAAATGAAATCATCAGAATTAACGGCAGGAATTGTGACACTTATGGATGCTTTCAGATGTTAGCTTTTCGTTATGGCTTACAGAAGTGAAATGAAATAATGGTTTTTCCCAAGTGGAAGTGCTGCTTTCTGCATGCCCTTTAATTTCTGACCTGCTGTGGACTGTGGAGTGATATTGGACTCCTCTTTGTATGGTAACATGAATAAAACACTTAGCAGAGCATCAACTCAGTTACTTCTGAAGGGTTAAGCTCCTGCAGCTAGGATATTGCAAGCAGTGCCAGAGCTGTGTCTTCAGTCATTCCTTGTCCTGTTCTGTTTGCAGGTTCTGTACCAGCATTGTGGCTCAGGATGACAAAGGCAACATTTACCATGGTCGGAACCTGGATTACGCTTTTGTCGATATATTGAGCAAGATCACACTGGATGTGCAGTTTATCAAGGGTGGGCAGGTATGGTCTCGGTTGGCATGGCTGGATGGTGTTCTGTGTGGGACAGCCCCGTATCTGCTTAGATGGGGGGTTTAATGTAGGAATGGGGTTCTCATCCCAATTCTACTGAATTGTTAGAGCAGCACAGTTATGGTCCAGCAGTGTGGGATGAATGCTGATTCTCTTTCCTTTCTGGGCATCCAGTTTATGGTGATGGATTGGACAAAGTAGAACAGCTTTATGTGGTATTCAAGATATTATTTCCAAGAGATGCTGAAAGAAGGAAATGTCAAGATGCTAAAGAAGAAAAGAGATTAGGGAATATGGCAAAGAGATCAGTTTTGGTAGGAACCAATTCTAAGGCGCTTTTTTTCTTTAGACCTTGTGAATTTCTGTGACCAACAAGTGTGTCTTTAGACAAAGATTTTCAAAAAAGAACTAGCTGCTAGTGCAGTTTTGTGAGTCTGATTTTTTTTTTTCTCTTAATGCTCATTAGTCCGTTTTTTAAACAGAAAAGTTGTTTGTTGCTTGGCAGTTTAACCTGAGCAAAAGTCTTGTAGCTCTCAGTGATCACAAACAACTGGAATGCTGTGAGTTTGAGGCCTCAGAGTCACTTTTCCATTTACTCGGCATGTTTTCTTGTAACTGAAGGCACAGTGTGCTATAGTAACATAGGTGTGAAAGCTATAGAAAGAAGTACAGGCTGCAGGTTCCATCTGTGTGCTGTTCTGGAATGCTCATCTGCTCTCCTTCCTGGTTTCAGGTTGCATACCAAGGCACCACATTTCTTGGTTACGTCGGCTTATGGACTGGGCAGAGTCCACACAAGTTCACCATCTCTGGAGATGAACGGGGTAAAGGGAGTGTCTTCCACAGTAGATGTTGTGTGTTTTGTTGATTGTCACCTGCCTTGGCCTTTTTCTCCCAAAGGGAGCAATGCAGTTAAGGTTGCCAAAAAGGACCTGAAGTGGAATGCCTTGCCTTGCCCTCAGGGAGTGAAAGCACACATGCCTGGTTTTGGATACTGTGTAAGGGAAGGTATTTGTCAGCAGTGTCACCTGAGCTGAAAGTGTCAAAGGATGGGGAAAGCCTTGGCAATGCTGTAAAAGATGTGGTCTGGTCAAGAGCCAGCATTAGAGGTGGCAGAAGTGGGGGCTGAGATAGCAAGATGCAGTTTGGAGAGTGAAGAAACTGCTCCTTTGCTGGTTCTGCTGTATTCCATTCTTGCCTGGCCTCATAAGGCAGTTGGAAAGAGGGGGAAGATCTAGGGGAAAGGCAGCAGACCTTGAGGGCATGCCAGGAGACACCAGAAAGGGAGTTAAGCAAGGTCAGTAGTAGAGCAGAGTTGGGAGATGCCACTACTGAGAACTAAAGTTTGTAACAGTGGGGAAGGCAGGGGGAAGGTCACTACCTTGTTCATAAGGGCTTCAGTTTCACAAGTTTCACAGTTATGTCCAACTCAAAGCTTGGAAAATTGTCTCCATTTCTCTCCCCTTTATTCCTTTTAAGAAGCTGATACTGTGCTCTTCTTTATTAGGTGACTGTTAGAACTGGCAGTGATGTATTCTCAGAACCAACATCTAAAGCATTTTTTTTTCCCTTGTGATGGTGATAAGCTTTTTTTTTTTTTTTAAATCTTGAACAATCTGTTCTTCAACTCCTTAGCTATGCAAACAATATTCACTCTGTGTTCCACCGGTACGTTCTCTCTGAGTAGGGATTCTGTTATGGAGCACTTGCACCTCTTGCTTCCTGTTTGCGTTGCTCATGCTGCCTTGTTGGATTCACTAAATTCTTTCCATAGTTTACATGCACACTGCTTCTGATTCCAGAGTAGTTAGTTAATGCTTTCAAAACTGGGGTGTCCTGGGCTGTTAGTTACTGGGGAAAACCGCTTTTAGTTCAGCTTAAAGGCAAGTGTTACATGTTTATTGAGTCTCTTGAAAGGCCTGATTGAGGAAAGCTTGTGTACCAAAGTCCTGTGTATTTCCACATCCTATGTTCACTCCACACATGCTGCAGTTCTGTCCATGGGCTGCTGCTGACTGCTTGCTGGCTTATCTGAAGTGAAAGATGTTTTTAGCTAATTCCAACTGAACTATGAATTGAGGGAAGTGAGCATGTGGCTCTTGGGGAACCAGGATGACTAAATCAGGATCAGGGTCTATCAAGTTACAAGCAGACTGATATGTTTTTTTTTTGCAAAGTGTGTTTAAATAGCAACAAACTTGGCCTTCTGATTTTTGCACTTTGCTTATTATTCCCAGTAACACAAGCACTATCACTACCTCTTTTTTAGCTGTTTTATTATTTCTGTGAAATTCTTCCTGTTCTAGTATTTCAGGAAGGTGAGTAATGAGATGATTATTATCATTCCTGTCGTGACAGGTCTGAGATGGTTTCTGTGAAGCTGCTGTGGCTGACTGTCAGTTGGAATTGTGTTGTCTATATATATTTCACCTGAAGGTTGTGCTCCTTGTTGGCACTTCTCCTGTGAAATGTTGGTACTTAGTGCTGATAGGCACCTACCCTGTTTCACTGTATATAAATTACATGTATAGTAATTTTTTTTCTCCCCAGATGGTGGTAGATGGTGGGAAAATGCTATAGCTGCTTTCTTCAATAGGAATTACCCGGTCAGCTGGCTTGTGAGAGATGTAAGTGCAGTGAGTTGATCTTACATTTCACAGCTGTGCCACATTTGTCCTTAAACATCTAGTAAATTAAAATCAGTGGCACAGAAGACTTAACAGCTTGATAAGCAAATGAATTTCTCAGGAGAAACTAAGTGTGTACCTGTATTTAGTAGTGAGGCAATTCCAGCCCTTTTGGAGGGCAGCCTCTAGTGCCAAAGGTCCTGGAGAAGGGTTCCTTCCTAGGGAGTGTTTCAACTAGCTGTAACTTGTGTCGTAACCAGTTAAGACAGCTGTACTCCCAGATGGTGAATATCTGTGCCAGGGGTTATCTTATGCTATTTGTTATGTTGTTACATTAATATTTTCAAGTAGCACTTCAGAGTCAATTAGCTGGACCTTCATATTTTGAAGATGTCCCAGTACTCGTTTTTGTGCTTAACCTCACTCATCTCCTTTTTGTGTTAGACCCTGAGCGAAGCAGAGGACTTCCAGGCTGCTGTTCTCAGACTGGCTGACATTCCCATCATTGCTGAGGTTTACTATATTGTGGGAGGTGTCTCACCCAAAGAAGGCATGGTCATAACGAGGAATAGAAGAGGACCAGCAGATCTCTGGCCTCTTGATCCCTTAGGTGGAGCGTAAGTAGGAAAAACTGCTTGGTTTTTGCTTCTCATGTTCCCTTCTGAGTGACTGGCTTAGTGGCACAACTTTCTGGAGAGAGCCAGGGCGCCTCTTGGTCACATGGTTACAGCAGGGGATTCCCTCCTGTGTGCCATAGTTCATGGTCAAGGCTGTTACAGCTACCAGCATGGTGCCCTTGGGCTTGCAGAAGTGGAGGGAGTTGCCTTTTGAGGGAGTTTTCTCCTTTTGGCAATGTAAGGATACAGATTGTTGGACTTTGTGCATTACCTACTGAGTCACCTTTTGTTTGCTTATGTGCTTGTTGCAGGTGGTTCCGTGTGGAGACAAACTACGATCACTGGACTACCCCTCCTCCTTTTGATGATCGCAGGTAAATTGATTGGAAGCTCTTTGGGGAGAGAACATGTGTTTTCAGAGTGGCTAGACGTATGGGTAGCTGTTTGCTCCTGCAGCAGGCAGCTCATTCAGCTCCTGTAAAGCCACTCTGAAGGGAGTACATATGGTGTAGAGCAAATACTCACAGATGAAAGGGTGTGAGACAGTGATTAGCATAAAGAGAAACTGCAAAGATAATGCTTAGGCCACAAACTTGCTCAGAAAGCAAAATTTAGTAGGAGGTAAATGACTTAGATCAACAGTGCCAAGTGGATGGCACTAGGAGGGTGTTTGTATGGGATTTTTAGGCTGTGTAGTGTGCAAAAAGGGATTGGCAGATTGCTTCTTGATATGTGCTCAATGGAATAGTAACAGGAACTTCAATACTGTGAGATGAGATCCAGTCACACAACTTGGGGTTATTTTAGACCAAAGCAGGCATTTCAGTGTTAAGACCTTTAGTAAGAAGGTGTTTGTGTAGCCTTTGAAACAGACAAGTGTGTTTAATTGATAATGTGTTGCTTTCCCACAGAACTGCAGCCATCAAAGCTCTCAATGCTACTGGACAGCACAACATCAACTTTGATACACTCTTTAAGGTAGTTCTCAAATTCTGCTTTATGAGTTGCTCTTCAAGTTCTTTGACAAAACACAAGTGTTCTTTCATCAGGGATGTATAAGCTGTGCTTTACTGTGGGGAACAAGGCTTACTGCACAGCTGTCTCTAGGGGGGGTTGAAGACTGAAAGTTGTTCCAAATGCTTCTGGACTCCTATTTAGGCATTTCATAACAGTTGACCAATTCACGTGGAAAGAGTGGGAGATGAATCCCATCATCTTTGTGCAGTTTCTTATTTCAAGCACAGGCACTTAGTGTTAGACATGGTGACCTTTGGGAATTACAATGTCTTTCAGAGGGCTTGTTTTGAAAGTACTTCAGTAAAATGGTCTGATGTTTAAAAAAGGTGGGAAGTTCTTGACTTTATATTATTCCTTTCATAACTTCATCCTACTACTGTTTCTAAATAGCCATTTACTTCCCTCTTTATCTCCCCAAATGACAACTCTTCCAACTTTCTGTACAGGTGTTGTCAGTGAAGCCAGTCTTAAACAAGTAAGTATTAGATTGAGAGATGTTGATTGGTGCCTCCTGCTGTGCCTCAGGCCACTTGAAAGCACACCACAAACTTCTTTAGGATCTTCCTTATGTGTATGAGTCCTGTGGTTTCCCAGCCTAGATTTTGGCTTGTGCTCATGACCCTCTAGTTCCCCAACACTGTTCCTTTTGGGTCTACCACTTCAGTTAGGGAACTGCACTTATTTGGGCTCAGTCTGGTAACGGGAAATTGCATTGGAGTAGTGAAACAAATGACTCCTTTGGAGGAGCAGCTAGATGTCACATGGACTCCTTTGCCCATTTTTGGAAATTTGGGCTTTGTGATAACACTGCCAGTAGCTTTTTCTGCATGTTCTGATGGAGCTCTGATTAATTTGTAATAAAGGAAGTGGGATAAAGCTTTTAGATGCCATTTACTCCATTTTCAAGAGATACGTTTCAGTACACCATTCTTCTGTGCTGTTCCAGAAATTGCACTTTTGCAAGTTATCATGTTATCAAGTTTTACTTTTACATGGAGCTCAATCATATTCTCTGTATCAGTTGTTGTCATTGGAGCTTGGCAATGGCTTCCTCTACCTCTGCTCTGCCTTGTCAATGTGAGGTAATGGGGAAAGGAAAAGGTTCATCTCAGCTATTGTGACATAGATACAGTATCAATTGTTTAATACAGTTCCTCTCTTGTGCTGTGTGGGGGAAAGAACACTAAAAATTGATGCCAACAGTCTTTAATTTAATCAGTCTCTTTTCCTAAATCCTTCTGTACCTAAGCCGAATATTTGTTTCCATAAATACCTGTCCTGCTGCCTTGCTAGCTAGATGGATTCCCCCTCCTGCCTTTGGGATGTCACTCACTCTCTCTGTTGCTCTTTCCCTGCCAGTAACACAGTGTACACTACAGTCATGAGTGCTGCACTTCCAGATCGGTACCAGACATGGATGAGAGCCGGGGAGTGAAGAGATGGAAGTGGCAGAGGTGTAAGTGGCATCTGTACTTGCACAACAATTGCAGCTCCAGAGTCACTGAGGGCCAAAGCATTGCACTGGCATGCTGATCCAGTCTGAATTCCTGATGCTGCTTGTTTATTGCCCTTGGATAAATAGCTTCCATTGTTTTAGAGGGAGTTAAATATTGACTGTCCTAGTGAAACTCTTGGAGAATATATTAGGTTTTTGATCAGAGAGGAAGGGATGGAAGCTGCAACCTAAAGGTAGAGGTTGCCTCTGGGAATGTTTAGCCTATTTTTACCAGCCCCACTATGAAACTTGCTTGTCATCAGGTGGATGATGACAGCAAGCCCTGCCAGAGGGAACTAAATCCCAGCAGCAGGGGATGGTGCACTTAGCACTAAGAAAAATTGAACTTGGTTGGTAATGGCTGCTCACCAGTGACTACATGTGAGCAGCATCCTTTGGGGGCTCTGTCCTGTGAATGTACAGAATAAGCTGAAGTTCTTGAGCTCACAAGGTGTCTCATGGGGACAGCTTCAGAGAGATACTATGAGAATTTCTATGCCAAGAAACTGGTTGCATGGCCTTGGCAAGAGCACAAGAAGTTGTATTTCAGTTTAAAGAGGTTTTAAAAAATACTATTGCTATTATATTTGCAGCAGTTCTGTCAGGTCAGATTGTAGCAAGAATAATTCTTTCTAGCGATTGTGTAGAACTTGTTTTTCACTTAACTCTGGACAAACCTGTGCTCTCTTGCCTGTTTTTCTAGTTCAACACACTGAGTGAGAAGCTGAAGCTGTGCAAGACTAACATATGCTTTTAAAATCACCCCTGGGAGCAGTACAGTGGCTTTGGTTCATGAATGATGTGCACCATTCAGGAAACAGTGATTTGTTAACTCTTCAAAGTGTTGCAGGTGATCCTGTTCATGACCTGTAATGGAAGTTTGAAATTTCCTGTAATTTAATTGATGCTCTAGTAGATGTTGATGGGTAAAAATGGCTTGTACTATTTTTGGTATGAGTTGTGCAACTGCGATGTACTTCTGTGCTGACTAATAAATACATTTTGTAAATTACATAGCCTGAAAGTCTGAAGTAATTAAATAAAAATATTCAGCTCATAGCTTGATGTATGAAGCCTTGTGGGATTTTACTTCTAGGTCCTCATCCTTTTCCCTTTTCAACTCTGTGAGGAGTTGTTGATCCTGGGCCTAGCAGGGGCAGATGCAGCAGCCAGCAGCATATACAGCTGTAGACTACAGGTATTTTCTTTAATCAGAAATCAGGAGCTATTTCAGGAACAGTGGTAATGCACTTTTCTCCTTGGTAGATGAGAGGAGGTTGTGTTGGGTAGCAGGGAGGTTAAAAACCAGTTACATTTGGTTTTGTACATTCAGATCAAATTACCTGCAGTAAAAGTTAACATTTTGTTTTATGGTGCAGAGCAGTGGGGCTTTTGTCAGGTTGTGCTGACTGTATATTGAGTTTAGACACTTAAGTGTGCTCCAGAGATACCAAGGGAATTGAAGAGTCAAGGTGAGTGGATACCTTCAAGTAAAGCTGACAAGTGCCCTTGTTCACTGGATAAAATGTCACCTGTATGAAGGTGACAGCGCCACTTGCAGATCCATGCCATGCTGGCTGTGGTGGGTGTGCACTGGTTATGCAAACTGCTCTGAGAGCACCTTCTGGAGCTGAGGGCCCTTTATCTCCTTGTGCTGAGCCTTATAACCTACTTACCTGCATACTCTTCCCTTGCCTGGATAAAAGTCCTGCAAGCTGTGCCTTGACCCAGTTTAGACAGAGATGTACAGCAGGCAATGAAAAAGCTGAAGAAGAGTTCCTGGAGCAGGATTTTAAAATGCTCGCTATCTTTGAGAGTCCAGAAATTGCCATTGCTTGAATTCACTGAGTAGGCACTGATTTGTGATCCCACCAGGTTTTCTTTTAAATAACAGCTGCCCACAGTTACAGGATCCTTACAGGTGTGGCTTTGTGTAGTCATTCTGACCTCCACAGCATTAGGCTGATGATCCTCTGGCAGGGGTGTGCCCAGATGCTCTGGTATATAAATTTGGCCCAGTGTTTGTTTCAATGTGTACAATATGGAGTGTCTTAAGTTGTTAGTACCTAGGAGTATTCAAGAAGCAATTTGCTTCCACTGTTGTGTCTGTGGCTGAGCAGCTGTTTGGGGTTATGTGGTTTAAACAGGTGAGGAATGTAGTTTGTTTTATTTTCCTTATAAATTACTTTCTTGAAAGCCTTGCATTTTCTGTGGTAACCAACACTCCAAGAGGCTGACTGCCAACCAAATAAAGCCTTTCTGCCACCTTGAATGCTTTTCTGCTAACCCACAGGATATATAACTTCCTGGTTTTAGTTTAATGACAAGCTAAAAATATAAATACTGATCAACTGTTGAGTGATATATCTAAGTTGTAAGATACTTAACCTGTGAGTACCTAAGGTACTTGTGATAAGAACTGAAGTTTGATAAAAATGCAGAGATGTGTTAATACTTTAAACAAAACCATCTTAATGCTGGAAACATTAAAATGTAGCAGTGATTGGGTTTTTTTGGTAGGTTTGGATATTTTGTGGGAGTCTTTGACCAAGAAAGACTGGACCGAAACATCCTGGAAGTATTTCTGTTGCCTGGTATTCTATGATTTTGTGGACATTGCTTTTTCAAAAATAAAAAAAAAAGGAGTGGATCATTTATAGGTATTTGAATAGATTGCTGGTCATATATCTGTGTGAGATTTCATCTGCTCTGTGTGTGCACTTTTTAAAGACTGGAAAGAACAGTGATTTTCCTGTTTTCTCAAGCCCTGGAATTGTGAAGTAATAAAACAAGATAAATTATCATTGCTTTTTCCACATCCTTTTCTTTCTGCTCTATAGATTCCCTAGCTACGAAGCACCAAATACTTGTTCAGCCCAACACAACTAAGGGGTGAAACTTGGAATTATTTTTCCTCCAGAAGCTTGCATTTAGCAGAGGGCAGCTTGCAAGTGTGTAAGAGCTGACTCCGAGGATGAGAGACCAACACGCTGTATTTCTCATTCATAATCCCTTGAGTAATCCTAATCCAGTTGAGATCTGTAGCCTTTATTAAGTGTCACGTGGTAGAGGGTTCTTAAGTCTGTTCATAACTGGGCAGTAAATAAATCAAAGTGTCTGCACCAGCTCTGGGTCGCACGTGCACAGGGACATGGCCTGTGTTGTGCCGCCTGTCCAAGGGAACATCTTGCTTTCCTATTTGGATTCTGAGGAGGAGATTTTGCATCTGTAACTAAAAAACAGCATCAGAAATCAGCGATCATTTGGGTACCGAACACAACCAAAATTTATCGAGTGAAGAGCTTCAGTTGTGTTTGTCTCAACAAATCCATAAATTAGGACTTGGCAAGGTAAGTTGCATTTTTCTTTTTAATTCTTGGCAACAGGGTTTTGTGATCAGAAGTAGCTTAAAGTTTAAGATAAAATATCCTTTTTGTATGCCAAGGTGTGTATAAAGCTGCATTTGGGAGTTTGGTATCTGCAATTCCCCTTTTTGGCACTGCAGTAACTGTGTGGTTGTGTGTTTGAAATAAAACACACTTTCACCATCTTGCTTGCAGTTACAAGTGGTGCCAGGTCTGATGTGCACGTGGGCCATACAGAGGTATTTACTCTGAGGCAAGGCAGGATCATCACTTTCCCTAGTGCTAGCTAGCATTGTTATCCTTGGGAGAAGTATTTGGTTTTTAAATAACCTGTAGCTCTTAAACTCTTACTGTTTTTCTTTTAGCAGAACCTAAAATTGATTTCCCTCCAACATCTCTTTTAGCTTTTTCCCTAGTAGTAAACTTTTTAGTCTGTTATGTCTTCCTGTTGCCTTCCATTTTCTGCCCACCTATTCCTTCCATTGCTGGAATGTCTATAGAACTGTCAGGTTAGTGGGCATCCTGTTCATGATGCATGAAATGTCACCTTTCCTAGAAGCAGGCTTCACATTAGCTGAGTTATTTCTGGCAGGTCTTGTAGGATGAGCACCACATTCTGCAAAGATCTATGAGGTGCACAAATACCCAATGTGTTGGATTTGGTTCAGAATGCTGTCCCTTGCTTTGGTTTTGGAGATGTTAAAATAATTAGGCTAAGCCAGGAAACGTACCTAGGCTTTTGTAGTTTGGGTTTTGGGGCATTTGACTCAAGTGGATTTGTGCAAGGTTTCCTTGCCTGAATTTCATGGGGTACCAGATGGTGTTATTGAGCAAGTCCTCTGTTTGTGTTTGAAGAGTTGCAAGAACGGTGTTCCCCAGTGGCTCAGGAAGTGCATGGATTCTGGCTGCTATGTCTCTCTCTTGCCTGTGAAACATTACCTCCTGTGGTAGGGAATGTGTATCTTCTCTATGTGTGCGTGACCTTCTCCTGAGGCCCTGTACTTGGTGTTCCACTGGTTGTCTGTGTCCATGTGGGCCTCTCAAGTCTGTGCCTCTTTAGTGGTGGTTTAAGTGTGTGTGGTGGCTTTTGTCACCTGGTTTTAGAATGTGGGTGTTCTCTGGCAGGTGCTCTGTGCCATGGCATGTGTCAGGGACAGCCCAGTGCAAAGGAGGTGTGAGGAAAACCTGTTGCAGAGGCCTCCTGATTACACCAGAGAAAAGGAAGTACTTCTGTAGGAGAGGAGTGGCAGGCAAGAGCAGGATGAGGAAGGAGTGCTTGGTAGCTGGCTGTTTCCTAGATGAATAATGTTTCTCACCTGTAAGTTAAGACAACCTGTACCTGAAGTGGTGCTTATGTTCAGTTCATCCACTCTTTGAGTCTGTCCCTTGATTGGTCTCTGTTCCTCTTCCGTTTCTTAGGTGCAGGAATTTAGGAAGGGACAGGTGCATGTCACTGCTGGGGGGATGAGGAAGGATCCAAGATGCTGAGCAGTTTCTTCCTCAGTCCTTCCAGCCCTGGAACAGGTTTGATTCCATTGGAGCCTGATTTATTCCTATGCGCTCCTTTGCTCAGGTTGTGGCCCTGACAAAAATCTGAGGGCAACACATGAAATTCATGGCTCCAGCAACTGCTTGAGAGGGACCTGTTGATAAGCCTTTTTATGATATGATAATTAGGGCACACTAACACTAGGCTATCCCTCGCTATGGATGGCAAAAATGTGTTTAAAGTAGGGCTGCCCAAATAATAAATGCCTGTTTGTTTTGCAGGGAGAGAAGGAAATAAGAGAAAAATTGTTCCCAAAGGTGACTTCAAATCCATGGTTACGTTTTATCAAAGCAGGCAGGTGGTACCCTGAACACATCCTCAGCAGGCAAAGTACTAAACACCATACTTGAGTGTTTGCTTCAGGTTTGTTCTCCATTGTTTGCAAGGTTACGTAGAAGTGTTCTAGTTCTTGGGGAAGGGGCCAATTCAGAATTATAATTTTTACCATTGCTTCTCTGGAAACCTAAAACTTGTTGAAATCTTCAGATCTGTGTTATTAAGTGAAATTTTTGTATAGGCCAGATGGGCCTAAGTTCAGAAGTTCTGAACTTCTTCCTGAACTATGGTTTTCCTGGCACTGGAGGTTACAAACAAGAGCTATAACTGGTGAGTTTTGTGTGCAATTGTCCCTTGGAGTAGTTAATAATCTGGAAAGCTGTCAGAGTATTTGCATTGTTTGAGCACAAAGAAGGCAAGGAGCTAGGTAAAACTGGGTGTCATTTGGCAGCGATTTCAGGCAATCTGTGCCATTGATATAAATGATGCTGTTAGAATAAAACAAGAGTGTAGGTATTTTGCTAAGAGCATTGTGATGTACCCTGTTGCGTCAGCTGGTTATGGCACTGTGAGGATGCCATTGTACAGCTGGGCATCCTGGGCAAGGGAGAGAGAGTTGCAGGCTTTGCTGTGCTTTAGAACCTCCTGGTGCTGCGGTGTGGCTGAGCAGGGCTCACCTTCCTGAGCCAACATGGATCACTCACCTTACACAACACCGGACACGCTCCTTCAATTACTGTTTGTGCGGATCTGAGCTATTTTGAGAAGAAAGACGTGGGTGAGGTGGAAAGAGATTGAAGGAGGCAAAAGGATTGCAGGAAGCGAGGAAAGGAGGAGGACTTCTCCTGGGCAGAGGTGCCTCTTTAGTGACTCTGTCCTGACCCTCCAAAATACTTTGAGCTATGTTCTCCTGCCAACACCAGCCTTAACATTTCTACAAGTGTTTATTTCTTTTCCTTCATTTCTCAGCTTTGTCTTCCGTGAATTTCAGGGGAAAATAAAAATCTGTCGAATTCTTCAGTGATACAGTCTGGAGCTGCTTTGGCAGTGACTGTTTATTTTCCAGAGGGAAAATGTCTGTGAATGACATTCTGGTTACCCTCAAAGTGAGAGACTTCAAAGTTTGACCTAGTCTTCCATTAGGATCTGTCTACCCTGACCAGAGCTTCCACAGCAGTGAGCTTACTAAAGTCTGGATGTCTGTTGTTTTATACTGGCAACTGATGGTATAATACACTCCCACACTCAAGCAGATGCATGAGAATGAAGGCAAGCAGTGTTTAACAAAGCTGGCTATTTTCTTCTGATAGCTAATTGCTATTTTAGACTTAGCTTCCTGCTAGTTATGATTAGATTAAATATCAGGTTTGTGTACATCCCTCATAATGAGCTATCCTTTACAGGGCACTTTATAAATATTTGTCTACACTACAGAATGTCTGTCTGCACATACTACTTCTTAATGACTTTTTAGTAGTTCCTGATCATTATTGAAAAGCTTTTTATATGTTTGCCAAACAATCACAATACCTATTTTTATGCAGGTAGCTAAAGGTGCTGAACTGATTCCTGTTTATAAAGCTCACTTGCAATGTGAAGCAGCGAGACAGAAATCCACATCTGAATGTCTAGGAGTAGCTGCAGAAATCTGGTAGTGTAAAATGTACTTGGGCATAAGAGCGGTCCTCTGATCATTGATATTAAGTGTTAATATATTTAATTGTAGATTCTTGGCACTGAGACATGTTGCAGCTGTTTTGATTCTGACCAAATGGTCTTCCCTGCATCTCTTTTGTGTTTTTGGTGACACTGGGCCATTCTGCAACGTTGAAGCATTGGTTGGACAACATGGGATCAGGTAGTTCTGTAAATGTCCAGTACAAGCACTCCCTGCAGAAGTCTGAAAATGGTGAGTGATTCTTAGAAAAGCGATCTTATCCTGTTTTCTCCTGCATGTGCTGTTGGGAGGTTGCATTGAATGTGTTTCTCCTCTGAGTGTTCTTCATATCATTGAAGTGAGGCTGTCTTTGAGTATCCTGTGACAAGGATTCTAAGGTGTCAGGCAGAAGACAACAGGCTTGAGGAAATAACAGCTATTTAGACAAGGAGTGGGTTAAAATCCACCCAAGCCTAACTAGAGAAGAAAGCTACAGTTAGCACCAACACCTGCTGGATGAAACACTTACTGGGTAATGCAGCTGTTATGTCTGCTGACAGTGAGACAGATGTCCCCTGCTGCTTCTCCTGGATTATTTTCCAAGGCTCTTGCTAGTGCAGCCAAAATAAATCTAGTTCCAAAGAAGGTGAGATGGTGTGGCTATGTAAAGCTGTCAAGCAAAAAGTGTGCACTTTGTCAAATTACATCAGCAAAGTGCTCTTAATCTCTGTTAAAAATCCAGACGTCTATGGCTCTCGAAGTTGCGGTGATTTATGTTTTGAAGCCCTCTGTAATGGTATTAATTTTGTGGGTGTGTGCCTGTGTCTGCTGCAGAGCAAAGGGAGTTGATGAGGAAGACCTTAGATATAAGGAAGAGCTATAAAGTAAATAAACAGTCTTTTCCTTGTTTGAATCATGCAGTCATGAGCACTGGCAGAACAGCAGGATGGGGCAAACTGATTGCAAGTATTTGGAGAATAAGGATTGGAAGTGGGGATAAGGTTGTGACTCACACTTTTATTTGCTACTATCCACTATTGAAAAACTCTTTTTATTTAAGTTAGACTTACCTGTCACCCATAGCACCAGAGGTCCATGGACTTTCCCAACAAATTCAGGGTTATTTTAAGATGAGCAAGTGTAACACAACACTAGTTACTTATTTGAGACTTTATATTACATCTGATAGCTGAGCAACAGTTTCCCACAGCAGTAAAGCCTCTCTGAATTTGTAGACTTTGGCTCTCAACATGCCTCAGATTTGGCCACTTGCAGTAGGGCAGCTGCTTAGGACTTGGTGGCCAAATGCAGCGCGCCAGATCTCATCCCTGTTCCCCCTGTCCAAGGTCTTTGAAAGCTGTTTTCAAAGGACAGTGTTGGAGCAGAGCTGTTCAACTGGCCCTGCCTTGGAGTGTAGTCTGGTTTATGCGCTGCCACTTTGCTATGCTTTCAGCAACTTATATGATACATGGTTTAGATCATCATAAAATGTGGATAAGTCTTTCTCTGTTCATTTCTTTTTCCCAAAATGATACAAACACTGCCAGATATAACTCACCCAGGTAAACTGCTAAATTAGAATATCTGGCTTTTTCAATTGCACAGTCAGTCTCCATAAAAGCAGAGTCAAAACCAGTGCCTTGCCTATCTGGGGCTTAAATGCTGTTAATGGTGGTATTTATGTTAACTGTGCACTTGATAACATGTCTCTCATAGGTGTAAGTTTTTACTGTTTCTAAGATTTTGGTTTTCATTGGTATGTGTAGAGGAATCACAAGGAATTTCTTCACAGCCCAGCAGATCAGTAAGCATTTTCTCAGCAAGAGAGAAGGCAAAGAATACAGAACTTATTCCTGAGTTAAGGCTTGCCAAATCTTACCTTCTTGCCCACAACTTGAGGTTCTCTCACACCTCTGCTGAAGAGCAGCTGTAGATCTTCCTTCTTTGTGCTCTGCAATTCCCGGTGCTGAAAGAGAATAATGATTTAAAAGGATTATTATTTTCAGTGTATAATCCATTGAGATACCTTCATTAGGCAAAGGTCGCTGTCTCCTGCTGAAGTACTTGGAGGGCCATTTGTTAAGTAATTAATGCAAGCTGACTGAATTAATATTATTTCTCAGTATAGAAGCCTTTGGGTAGGGGGTGAGGATTTTTCTTTTTTTAATGAAGATTTTCCCACACACCTCCCATTGCTCTCCCTGCTTTGGTGAGCAGGCCTAGTTCCCTACCTGTGTTGTTTCCCTTGGGTTTTGAAGCCAGCTTGTGGATATAGCAGTCATCCCTTCCCACCTCAGCTAAAGATGACAGAGAAGCAGTGTTAGAAGATGTTTTAAGTGTAGGGCTCACGGGTGGGGCCCCAGAAAGGAACAGGAAGGGATGCAGTGTAATCCAAAGAGAGATGTCAAGAAGCAGAGCTGGTCCGAGTGGGATCAAGGACAGCTAAAGAGGATGAGAGATTCTAGAGGTAAAATTTTGTGGCAGAACTTGAAAAACAAAACGTGAAATTACACCAATGTACTTCACTTGAAATATGCACTCACCCCATCTGAAATAATTTTTGAAGGGAACACACTGGAACTGGGAGAATACAGAGGCTGTGTTTAAAAGATCAAAGGGCAGATAGCCATAATTTGGTGGGAAGTATCTGATGTCAGCACTGGCTGTGGCTTGAACATCAAATAGGTACCTGGAAATTTTGGCATCTCATTCATTCTGTGCCATTAATGGCCAAAGTTTTGCCTCCCCTTTTTCACTGTGGGTGTAGTTTTGTCTTTATTTTATTGTAAGGTAATGGTATGTTGATATTTATGCTAGTGTAGAGTCCTTCTAAAGCTTTTCCACAACTGCAAAAGCTAAGGTATTTATTTGGCATAAAGAGAGATAGAAAATCCCCACATTTTTAAGGCTCTAGAAGAAAACTTAGTATCCAGTCTTCCCCCAGCTCTTTGCATGGCCTCAGTTAAATTTCTGGTTTCCTGAAGACCCAGCACCTAGAGATGGTAAGAGGGACATAAAAATGATCAAAGTAGGTAGAAAGGGAGGATATTGTCTAATAATATGGAAGAACATGTTAGGGCTTACAGGCCTTTGTAATTTGTTGTTAACACTGGTGCTGAAGGAACCAGCAGCAATGGTTGGAAGTGCTTCAGAGGTCTCTGGGCAGGCAGGGTCAGGTCAACCTCTTGCAAGAAAGAAGGCAAAAAGAGATTTTTTGCCCTTAGGCACAAGAATACAATTCCTGGTAACTTCTTCCTGAAAAGGAAAGGTTCTCCTCCATGTTCAGAGGTGGAGAAGGAGCTGCTGCAGGTGCCTCAGCTGCAGGCAGTACTGCTCAGAAGCCTGGTTCTGTTCTTGTCTCCCAGCTTTCAAGGCAGCTGTCTTGATCCAGCAGTGGTATCGGCGCCACGTGGCTCGGCTGGAAATGCGCCGCCGCTGCACCTGGAGAATCTTTCAATCCATTGAGTATTCCTGCGAGCAGGACCAGATCAAGGTATGGTGCTGAGGAAAAGAGCAGGTAGGAAAACACATAGCAATGTGGTTTCTGTGCCAGACTCTGCCTTTTTGGGTGCTAGCTGGTCACCCTCTAAGTGCTTCAGTGGGCCAGGGACTGGGTTTCCTGCCCCTTTTTAACCTATTAATTCCCTGGCTGCTTGTGTTGCATAAAACAAAGTAATGAACCCCAAAAGCAAGCCCCAAGAGCCATTTAACAGAGCTTTTCTGGAGTCTGAACACAACAGGCAAGTCTATTTGGTTTGTTATGTTTTAACTTTGATTAAAATTCTCTTACATGCCTGCTTTGCAGGGAGAGGAAGGGCTCATAGCATACTTCTGCCTGTGGCTGAAGGTAAAGCCACTGTTTTGACTTCATCTTAAGAAAGTCAAAACTTAAATTGGTACAGTGAGAGTTGCTATATGTACCAGACAGCGTGAGGAGGGCAGAGGTAAAACTTCCAGAAAGATGATTATGATAGGTTGCTACTCTGTTCGATTTCATTCCGGGGTGAATGATGGGCTCTCCCTCTTCCTGCAGCTTCACAACTTCTTCAGTTACCTCATGGACCAGTTCACACCAAGCAGCAGCAAAGAGAGTAAGTTTGTGTGCTCTTTGTAGATGTGGCACCTGCAGCTCTGAAGGCTGAACCTTGTATAATTCATTGCCCAGTGCTGGGCAATCTTCGGGATGGCACATGTAGCCAAGTCCCAAGACTGACAGCATCAGGATTAGAGAGTGAATTGTCTGGAGACTATGAGCTGTGTAAGGGATGTGGGGCAATGCCTGCTCTTAGGAGCTGGAAGAAGGCATAAAGGTTCAGTATGTTGTCACAGAGTGGCAGAACGGTGCACACTGCACATGGACATTTGTCTCTTGCAGCCTTTCCCCCACTGCAAGTTTTGTAGCAGTGCCAAGCAGTACCCAGCATCCACGGCTGCAATTGCTCCTGAGTGCCAGCCTAACTAAACAGCTCTTCTGTAACAAATTACTAGCATGGTACCTGGACCCAATTAACTACTTTTTTGTGTGTTTCTCTTTTTTTTTAAATTTTTAAAATCAAACCATAAATCTGCTGTCCAGGGGATTTTATCAGTCGCATGTTTGTAAGTGGGGAAAGTTACAAAGAGGCAGAGCTGGAAAAATACTGTGACTATGAATCCATAGAGGTGCCAGACTCCTACACCGGACCCCATCTCTCTTTCCCACTCCTCCCTGACCATGCCACGGCCTTGCTGGAAGCTTTCCAACAGAAACAGGTAAGGATCCCAAAAAGGTACCATGCTCTCCCCTTCTCTGAACAGGATTGTAGGATAGATAATTTGGTCTTAACTTTCTTACCAAGCTCAGTTGACTGGAGTATAACAAGGCTGGCTGTTAAACAAAATGGGGTTGGAAACTATATGGTACTTCCTAATGCCATAGAAATGTTCTTCCTGATAATGTACTCCTGACAAAATGGAACACTTTACGTAGAGGTGTACCAATATTTACCTGAATTTCATTTTTAAAGGGAGAAATCAGCAACAGCTCATGTTGAGACTTTTCATAATTTTTTGTTCAAATTTCTCAATTTGTAAATAGGTATAGGATGGCCCAGAGGAAAACAGCCAATTACAATGTTTTGTGTTATGCAACTTGGACTCTGGTTTAAAATGTAAATTGTGAGTTTTTTGATAAGGAAGTTGAGTACCACTCCAGAACTAACAAGACAAGCCTTCATACAATTGCAGTGTTCTGCTGCCATCCCTCAGCTGATATGCTGAACCTCAAAATAGGTCAAAACATCCCTACTCCAAAGAGAACTTCTAACCCAAAGGTGTCTCATGTCCCTGCTGTATTAAATGCCTATGCCCTGGCTTTGAGCATATCTATCACTGCAGGACACGTGGAAACTCATAGACTGTTCAAAGTGGAAAAGCTAAGAAAGAACTAGAGGAGCAACTTTGTTACCTGTGATGTTGGACTGGAATTTCTGCAGCTCCTGGAGGTGGTGTGGCCTAGTGGGTATAGCCTTGTCCACAAGGTGCTGAGGCTCTAAGGTTGCTTTGCCAGCCCTCTCAGTGCTGAGGCTGGGCTGCCTTGTGCAAGTGTCTGCCATCCTGCTGTTTCCCAATATTTCCCTCATCTTCTTTGTAAGCCCATAGGTCAGTACAGACTGCCATTCCAGGGAGAATTTCTACCACCCAGGCTATCCTGGTGGAGTGTTTACAGCCACAGTGGTGCTGCTCAGAGGCCACTGATTTCCTGCTTTAATCCTTTTACTTTCTCCTAGTAGCAGCTCCATGCTCGCTATGTCTTAAACCTCCTGCATGAGACCAGGAAGCACCTCAAGCAGTTGCCAAACATCAGTCATGTCTCCACCTGCTACATCGAGGAGATCACCGTGTGTGGTGGGTCCCTTGCAGCCTCCAGGGTGGAATGCTCCTATGGGAGGGTGGGGCAGAAAGAGAGTGATAGTGAGAGCACGATGCCCCCCTCTGTACTGAACATGGAACACAATGCTCTCTATAAGCAAAGTGTGTGGTGCCTTGACAGGCAGCTGGGTCTGTCTGAAATACCCAGGTGGTCTTTTTTGTCCCACCCCAAACTTGGAGTTGTTTTACTAAACCACAGAAATCACATCCAGCTGAGGACTGGTCACAGAACTTGGTAGTGGTCTGACCTGTTCTGTGGTCTGGGATTATTTGAAAACAAAATCCTGGAGCCTTTCTGGGTGAGCACCAGCACGTGCATGCAGATCCAGAATGTCAATGCATCTTTGCATCGTATAAGTAAATTTGAGACAAAGCTTTTTACCTTTTTCCTACTCTAATGTTAAAATGTTGAGATATTTATGAAAAATACATAGTACAGACTTTTGCATGCAGTCAGCCTCTGGAAAACAAACCCCTCTCTCCAATATTATGTTAAATGACAATTAGATGGTAATTTTGAATGCTAAGCTTTCTCCCACATAATGACAATCTTGTGCCAGGATGTGCCATCACATGAGATAAATGACCAAAGCTTCTAAATCAGTCTTCAGCAGATGGTGTAGGTTTTTTTTATTGTCCTTCTCAGATTTCTGCTCAAGCCTTGCCTTACATCGTGTCCTTTTCCTCTAGGCTTGTGCTTCCCAAAGTATTTCTGTGCTTATTAATTTATAAAGGACCTAGTTCGTAGCAAGTTATGTATTGGGTGTTTTTTTAAAGTCCAAAGTAAACATATTGTGAATCATCTCTTTGTGCCTGTCAGGAGACTTACACGGCCAGCTGGATGACCTGTTCCTCATCTTTTACAAGGTAGGCACCACACTTAGAGAGGGAGGATGTCCAGGCATTTCAATGGGTATCTCATGGGTCATGTTGAGAAGTGTTTGCAGAATTGGGCCATTCATGTACAATTCTCCAAGACAATTGGATTGGTTTTAAATAGCTTAACAAATCAGTAGTTTATTCCCTTGCTTACTAGAAAATCTGATATCCATGTCCATTTTATTAGTGCCAATGGGTGTTTTTCTAGTGCTTATACCAATGACAACTCTTTGTGACTGCCAATTTCACTGCTGGGGCCCACAGTATAAAGATGAGCAAGGGTCTGTTGTAACCTAGGACAGAAATGAGAGGCTGCAACTGGGGGGAAGGCATATGGACACCTTGGAGAGGCCTCTCTGGAGACATCCACCTGTTCCTTGCTTTTACAGAATGGCCTTCCTTCCCCTTCCAAGTCCTACGTGTTCAATGGGGACTTTGTAGACAGAGGCAAGCAGTCCCTTGAGATCCTTGTCATCCTCTTTACCTTCCTCCTGATCTATCCCAAGGAGGTTCATCTCAACCGCGGGAACCACGAGGACCACATGGTGAACTTACGGTACGGCTTCTGTGCAGGGCTGAACACCACATCAAGGGCCTTGTGCAAAATCCCACTGAGCTTCCTTTCTCTTGTTCCTTTAGCTATGGTTTCACCAAGGAAGTGATGCAGAAATACAAGGTAGGCCTATGTTTGTGTCTTCTTTACCATGTGAGATATGCCTTTAGAAGACTGGATGCTTTATCTCTTTTTTCTTTCTCTCAGGTGCATGGGAAGAAAATCTTGAAGATGTTTCAGAATGTCTTCTGCTGGCTGCCCCTGGCCACCCTGATTGATCAGAAAGTCCTCATTATTCACGGGGGCATCTCTGACACCACTGACTTGGACATGCTTGAGAAAATTCAAAGGAACAGAGTAGGTTTTATTTTCCAGTTATTGCAAGAGACAACAGTGTTGCTGATTTGTGGTGAGAAGCTCATTTCTACATGCCAGCTTAGCTGTTGACAAGACAAATCTAACAGATGGTCTTCCTAGACAAGGTTGTGTTTAGGTATAGGCTTTGGTTAGTGTGCGTGCAGGAGCTGTGAAGCAATGGAGCACTGTTGGTTTCTGGAATATGTGCTGCTGCTGAAGTAAAAATGCAGTGATGATGAGACATTGTCCCACAGTTGCTTAGCCTGTTTTTACCCCTTAGACTTCCAGAAGGAGTTTAATAAATCATTTAACTTGCCTCTGCCTCACTCACTCAGTTAGGAAATACCCCTTTCCTTCTTCAAATAAAATCACAACTCTTGCATTAGTCATTCATGCTTCCTTTGCTCTGCTGCATAGTTCCCATTGCAGATGAAATCTGTATGCAGGAAATCAATGAGGAAGAGTGAGATGTGATGCGCATGAGGCCCAGCTGCAAACCCAGGATGGCTTGTCTAAGAGAATGGCACTAATAGTTCCCCATAGTCAAGGAGCAGTTGATGGAAAGAAGGGAGTGAGGCTTGGATCACTTGAAGTCTGCCAATGGAAGACATTAGAGCTGGAGGTCTGGGTTTCATGCTGTGTTATCAGCTCCATTTCTCTCATATCTTTCAGTTTGTTTCTGTGTTAAGGCTGAAGAAAAGGAAGGAATCGAGTGGAAAACCACAAATCCAGGCCATAAATGGGGAGAGCGAATCAGGCACTGATGCAACTCCCAGGTTATCTCTACAGCCCCAGTCAGCCCAGGCTCCCAGCACAGCCAACAGGCGGGAGTTCTCCAGGTGGCTCCGGCAGACGGTGCAGGAGCAAATCGACACGTGCCGCCGGCTGGTGGACATCAGCGAGTCAGAGCCGGAGGAGCTCACCTATTCCAGCATGGTCTCCTTGAAGGATGCGGATGAACCATGCTGGACTCGCCAGGAGGAATGGAAGCAGGTGAGGAGTCTTAGCAGGGTCCTGAGCTGGATGTGCTGTGGGTGCCTCCTGCAGCAGTTGGTCATTCAGTGGTAGGTGGCCAGGAAGGGCTGCTCTGTGAGACGGTGGGGATGTTTCGTTGGTACCTTTGTTACCTCCTGGGAGGAGCAGCTGGGGACTTCCTTTCCTTGTTCTTCCAGCCTGGGAGTCTCTTCTGTGCACTCTGAAACCACTGTTAGTTGGTTGACATTACATGTGACCTTCCAGTGCTGCACACCTTTTCTCTGTAGCACTGTATACTGAAGTCAGAGTTAAAGGGATTAGGCCTTAATCCACACAGTGGTTACTGAGTTAGCACTTGTATTTCTGCAGGCTATGGAAGGACCTGGCTAGAGAACAAAGGCATTTTATACTAAGCCTACTAATCTGGATCTCAGGATCTGCTGGTTGTTCTTGCCCTGGGACTTGTGTTTTGGGATGGAGAAAGATAGGGAAGGCTCTTGGACATCTTAATGCTAGCAGAGGCAAAGCTTGTATCAGGCTTGACTAATGCACATCCCTCTTTCCCCAGACACTTTGGATGTGCCTGTAGCTCATGGCCAACAATATTGCCAGTTCTGAGGTGGCCCAGGTCTGTGAGAGTCTTCAGCTGGAATGCAGGAAAACTGTCTGTTCCCTTGCACTCTGGTTATAGCAGCAGTGTAGGGAGGGATTCCGAGACTGAGCTGTATTTTCTTAGTGAACTTTGCCAATCCTTTCAGGTTTTAGACATCCTCTGGAGTGACCCCATGCCTCAGGAGGGCTGCAGAGAAAATAAGGTGCGAGGTGGTGGCTGCTACTTTGGGCCTGATGTGACAGAGAAGTTCCTTGAAAAGTACAGCTTGCAGTTCCTGATCCGCTCTCACGAGTGCAAGCAGGAGGGCTACGAGTTCTGTCACAGCCGCAAGGTCAGCCGGGGGTGGTGTGAAGGGCACTTGGGTTTCCATCCTGCCACAATGGGGTTTCTGGGGGGGGGTGGCTGTCTCAGTTCTGCATTTCTTCCAGTGGGGCTTTAAGCACATGCAAAATTCTTGAACAGTCCTATTGGGAGTTAACTGAAGTGTGGGGACATGGATGCACAGGCAAACTGTGTCCTTGTGTGTGGTGCTTGAGAAAATATCTGAACCCACTTGTGCCATAGCCCCCACTTAGTGCAGCTGCTCCTGCAAAAAAGGGTGCTACTGAGCTGCTGCAGCCAAGTTCTGTTTTCAGAAGATGCAGTCAGATCTGTGGCTTCATCAGGGCACTTGGATTCTGGAGAGCAGAATTGTTGGGAAAAGAGCACAGGAAAATTGCAGAAGCCCAACATGTGGCCAGATCCACATGTGACCAGTGCCACCCACAAGGAACTCACACCTGCATGTCTTCCAGGCCAGCTGCCACCTGGCTCTCCCTCTTCTCCATATAACATAGATGCTTTCACAGTCTGTGGACTCTGGAGGGGATTGGCTCTATTGTTTACATGTATATCAATATTACAGGATGAATGTACTGACTGCAAATGCCCTTTTTTTGGGATTAGGTGCTGACCATCTTCTCAGCCTCAAACTACTATGAGATTGGCAGTAACAGGGGAGCCTATGTGAAGCTGGGACCAGACCTCATCCCCCACTTTGTTCAGTACCAAGCAAACAAGACAGCCCATTTGCTCACTATGACCCAAAGGCAAGGCTTTCTAGTTGCTCTATTTGCCAAGTCAAAATTCCCTAAGGGAAAAATTTATGAGCTTTTAGAAAGTTTGACTCTGGAGATGAAGTTTCACAGCTTGATTTTTCTAAAGAAAAGCTCTACAGGAGGGATTATGCTTTGTACTTGAAGTTACTGAGGAAAGCTCGAGGGTTGAGAAGGGATTATTAACAAAATTCCAAGGGGATTTTTCTAAAGCTTGCTGATTTTTTTCAGCTCCTCTTTTCCATGTCAGGTTTTAACTTTTGACCTTTGCTGAAGCTCTCTTTTGGGTTGTTACTTCACAAATGAATGCAGGGACTCGTGGCATCAGCTGCAGGGAACTGTGCCCTGGGCATGCAGTGCCTTGTCACAAGCACTGAGATGCAGCTGTAGCTGTGCAGAGCAGTTGTGTGGGCAATCCATGGACAAGCCAGGTAGAGCACTGGGAGGGAAGGTGCAGTTTTTCTTGTGATTCAGGGCAAGTCCTTCAAGTGCTTCTCTCTGTTCTGCATCCTCCAGAATCAGCAGAGTAGAGGAGTCAGCCTTTCGAGCCTTGCGGGAAAAGCTCTTTGCTCACACCTCAGCCCTCATCAGTGCCTTCAAGTCCTACGACAGGGACAATACAGGTAACCCAGAGCTGAGGGACGTGCGAGTTCATTGCCTGGTCGGATAGGGCTGAAGAGACTACATTGAGTTTGTGGCTGGCTCGGAGACTGCTCATTGACAGGTGTCACCAGCTGTCATGGGGAGGCTGTATCAGACCTTGCCAGAGGTCATTTGCTGTTACTCAGTCTCTCTGGATGCCTTGGAGAGACACCGCAAAGTGGGGATGCTGAAAAAGCAGGACGTCATTAGCCTGAGGTGCAGTAATGGAGGCTGCTCCTAGAAGAACTCCTTGCAGCTGAAGTGCTGATGAAGCCTGGGGAAAGACAACCTGGAACGTGTCTGTTGTGTCAGTTGAGAAGGGCTGGGTGGTCTCTAGAGCCCCTTCATCTCTGAAGTCTAAAATCACTGGGAAGAGGAAAGCAAGGGATGTCTTCAATGGCAGTTGTCTTTGTCAGAGCCTTAAGGAAGGAGCTGAGAGTTCGGACCTCTGTGGGAGACAGGAGTGCTGTGTTGATGCAGTGACCAAGAGATGTTGCTGAGAACTGTCCACTGGTGGGCAGGGGAGAAAAGGGATATGGTGGCTGGCAGAACTGCTCATTGAGAGAACTGCTTTCTTGCTTTCTTCCCTGGTAGTAAAACTGTTCATAGGGATCCAGCTCAGTTGTTACAGCTGCTGCTAAAATGGGCAGTGGGCTGCAAATTTCTAATGAAATACCCAAAGTTACTGTCCTGCATTTGTTCAGATGCTTGCAGCATCATAAGCCTTGCTATGTTGCAATGATGAAAACCTTGCTGAGGCTTGGGTAGGAAGTGTTTGTGTGCCTGCACTGCAAAATAATGCTGTGCTGTCAAGCAGCACCTAGACTGTGTGTCACTGTTTTAGGCTTTGTCTTTGCCTTCACGTGCTTTCCGCTGCCAGAGGTGTCTCCCTTTTGTGTACAGGAAAGATCACTCTGAGCAACTGGGCGACAGCAGTGGAGTCAGTGCTGCGGCTGGGACTGCCCTGGCGAATGCTGAGGCCGCAGCTGGTGCGCAGCGCCGAGGACGGCATGCTGGAGTACAAATCCTGGCTGGATGACCTGGCCATGGAGCAGAGGAGCCAAGAGGTAAGCACTCAGCCCCTTCCATCAAAGCATGATGTGAGCAGCTCTCACCAGATCCCTGGCACATACAAATCAATTGTAGTACAAAAGGACAGTGGATTCTCCCTGCATAACCTGAAATCACACTGAAGTTGGTAGGAAGTTTTACCTGAGCTCAAATAGTCCTGAGGCACCCAGCCCATTTTTACAAAGAGATGACGGATGTGAAATCAAAATTTAGGGACAGTTTGGATGCAGGCTGGTGAGTAGGAAAACTGTATTTCACTCTCCAAGTAGCAGTTTCTTAATTACACACAGCAAATGCAGCTCTGCAGTGGTTATAAAATGCAGCCTGGTTCACTGTTAGCCCAGAAGAGCGCCAATGGGAAGGGACAAGTTGCTGATGGTCTGTTCTGCAGATGCAGAAGGGTCCAGTCATCACACTCCTGGTTGATAAGGCACTGCTGGCAAGTTCTTGAGAGCAAAAAATATTCTTGCCTTTGGAGACATTGCAGTAACAACTCAGAGACAGGAGAGGTGTTGTCAGGATAAAAACTGTGATCATGTCTTTCAGCACATCCAGTCCAGCTTGCTGGAAGTCATTTATCGAAACAGATCCAACTTAGAGACCATATTCAGGATCATAGACAGAGACCATTCAGGTAAGCAGTTGTGCAGGGGCTGTTGATCACTGCCTTCTGTGATCCCTTCTGCTTTGGAGTTTGCTTTAGTATGTACAGATGTGTTTTTATTTAGGCTTGGGTGGTCCTGCTCCCTCCCACACTTCTGCAATGTCAATTTGTATTATGCTTCTGCTGCTCTGAGCTGTGTTTTAGTCAGTGTTCTCCACATTAGGAGATGTAGCTGCAGCACGTTAAATGCTCCTCTGCAGGTCTCATCTCCTTTGAGGAATTCCAGCAAACCTGGAAGCTGTTCAGCTCCCACATGAACATTGAACTCACGGATGATGGCATTAATGACTTGGTTCGCAGCATTGACTTCAACAAGGATGGGAACATTGACTTCAACGAGTTCCTGGAAGCCTTCCGCCTGGTCAGACAGTGCCCGTCGTGAGAACCTGCTGGGAGCTGCCATGTCCCATGCCTTGATTTCTACAAAGCCAGGACTGTCCCACCTAACCTAGAGTGTGCCTGCAGATGGCAAGCAGGGAAAGGGGAGGCAGGTGCCCAAAACAGAGATCACTGTAGGTGACAGCTGTGACCCATCTGGGGAGGCTAACAGGTGAAATAGATGAATTGCACTTCAATTCAGACTGCTTTTAAAACAAGCTGTGTTTTAAATAGCTTCCCACTCAAAGGGAAGATGTAACTTAGCTTCTCTTGTCAATGTGAGAGGATGTTACGGGTGTATTGAAGAGCAGTAAAGTGGAAGTCAATGTATTACATGTAGGCCATGTTTCAATGAGGTAGTACCTGTTTGATTGCAGCTTTCCTTTTAATAAACCTTTTTTCCAGACTGCTGTTGCTTGGCTGTTTATTTTTTCTCTAGTTAACTCTGTGAGCAGCAGTGCTGTTCCAGTGATGACACCTACTTCCCTGCTGGTGTTCCTCTGCTGTGGTAAGCTTGCTCTGGAAGTTTGGAGCTACTAAGTACACACAGTAGAGTGGAATGTTGGAAAAATACCTCAAATGTGCAACATTGTCTCTAGCAGGGGGACTTGTTTAAAAAATCTATTGAGGTAATTTCATTTTCAAAGCCCAGGGCAGTAGATCAAGTAGCTCCCTGCTAGGGAGCCTATGCTGCAGGTTTGTTATTTTCAAAGCATGGTGGGATCCAGCTTGTGAAGTGGGGTGGAATGAGAAGTTTGCAAAACAAGAAACAATGTGGTTCTCAAATACAAGCAGCACCGTCTAGCAGGGGCCCCATGGCAGAGGACTCAAGACTGCTACCCCAGCCTCCAAAACAGAATTCTAGCCTCACTCAATTTCTTACAGAGCTCATTGCCCAGTGCAGATAGTTTAGTAACTGGAACTATGCTTCCAAAAGGAAACTAATCCTGTTCCCCCTTAGCTAGAGCTCCACATATGCTTTTTCAATTGTAATGGAATCATGCTTCCACAAACACTCTCAAATGCACAATAGGGGTCCCAGCATATTGCAGCTGTATTTCTATTTTTCCATCCTTCAAATTTAATTAATGGAATTAATTTTGATGGCTAATGAACAAACTGATTTTGCCCCTTCCGTGTTTTTTTCTGCTGTACAAACTCCTACTGCAGAACACTGTTTTTTGTTTCAGTTATTTTTGGTGACTTTGGCACTGGGGAAAAGCAGGTCTCTCTCCATGACATGGGGGGAGTAGGTACCTGCTCTGCAGCGCTTGCTGCCCGGTAGGATCTGGGAGCCACACCTTTCACTTTGGTTTGGGGACTGAGGCTGCCAAGCAGCTCTGTGACACTGGGTGTGACAGCCTGCTACCTTGCAGTGCCTGGAGCAGAGTGAAGTGCATTACCTGGAGCTGGGAGCAGCATCACTGCTTTGCTGATGTCACTGAGAGCCAACACCACACACCGCTTGTTACAAATTCAGACTGAATTTATTACTTTTGGGTGATTTTTAAAAAAGGCAGAAGACAACGTCCAGACATACTGTTACTTAGAGGGGCAGCAAAGCTTTGTATAACTCATATATGTAAAGTGATCAAAACATAACCTTCAGATCCTTGCACTCCAAAGGAAGGACTGAAACTGGAAACATGAACTTTCTGCAGCTTGCCCCACTAACTGACTGGTACTGCAGAGAACATCATAGTTACAGCAACAAATATCACTGTAATGATTTAAGTTAACTGTTTACACAATGGTGCTACTTGATTGTTCTGACAGAAACATGGAAGCAGGCTAAGCTTTCCACAAACTGAGTCATTAGTGAAACAATCCCCTCAGCACTGCAATTTTTAGGACAATGCTGTTGTAAAAAAAGAAGAAAAAAGGAAAAAAAAATGTACAATAGTACATATAGTTTTGTAGTAAAATGGTATCTGAACAGATTCAGTTTTCCTTCTTTTGTTAAAGCATATACAGCTTTATAAAATATAAACCTTCCAAAGGTCAATTTTAAAAGCTTAGAAGAGGCTTTGCTAATTCTAAAAGTAACAGACAAAATACCATTTTGCTCCTACAAGACATGTGTTTTATTTTACCTCAACAGTTTTTTAGCCTTGGAAGGTGAGCCATGAACTCCACTACCATGTTCTGTGTAAACCTCCACCAGTCAACTGAAGACTCCCCCTCGGATGGGAATGCTCTCGTTTAACCCGTGTTCTATTAGCTTGATGTCCTCCAAATCATCTTTGATGATGCTGATTAGGTGACTCAGCCCTTCTTGCTGCTGCTTCAGGTGCTGCAGATAGTTCAGAAACCAGTGTGAGTATTGTTCAACTTCACAAACTTACTAAGTAATATTTCTCAGAAGTGTCATGACTGGTGGCATTGGCACATTGATAATCCTGGCATCATTTCTCTGAGGAAGGAATAACAGCATCTTCTGTGCTAACAGCCTGTCTCCACAGAGTGGTTTTGTACAATAGCTTGGTGCCCCAGCACTGAGACCAATTACAAGGATGACTTGATCAAACATGACAACATGACATTCTATATCCAGTCAGTGTGCATCTGGCTTAAATGATCAAGCTCAAAGAGTAGGCCAGGGTTCTACCCAGTAACACTCACTTGCTTGATTTCCCTTAAGAGGTCTGCATCTATGTAATAGCGCTCTTCAGCCCGCACTGCTCCAAAGTGGTTTTGCATCCTGATCTGGGACATGAGCTCATTCAGTCTGCCCTGGGAAGAGAAGCAGGCTTAAATCAAACACAACTCATTTACAGCTGCCACAGTTCCAGCATCTACCATTCCTTGAGTCTCCAGGGCTGGAAACATTGCTGCTCATTCAATTTTTAGATGTTCTGGAAGACATGCAAAGGGTAAGCGACTCCATGATTTCCAAGAACTCAAAACGACTGAAATACCTATTGGCTATTCAGTAAAGAGCACAATGCTACAACCTATCACACCGAGACTGAAAGCCTTCCACAACTAATATACACATGTGTTTTGGAAAACTGCCATGCTTTCAGTGAGGAAACCCCAGAGGTGTTAGCCAAACGCTGTCAGCCACTCACCTTGAACTGCGTGGGTGCGTTAAGTTCACACTGAATTGTATCCAACTGTACACGAAGCTGCTCCTCATCTGCCTGAATGGCATAACCACTTTTCCTTTGGATCTCCTGCTTTATTAGCACCTACAAAAGAAGCCTTTGACGTTCATTAGAGAACACTTGGCCCATCCTTCTCCCCACCAGCCCATCTCTACATCTTTTTGCCCCTCCTCCAGCCTGTTTCTCACTGGATTTGTTGTGTCATTTAGTCTGCTGCTCTAAGACCTCAGGGCAGTCCTGTGGTTTTGGGTAGGTGAGAGAGAAGGTTCCCAAGTACAGCAGACCTGAGCTTTCCCTGACAGCTCGGCCTGGTACTTAAAAAAACACCCATTAGCTGAGGTCAGAATAATTTTCAGCACTGGCCTGCACAAGATGGAACAGGTTCTTCTTCCCTCTGAGACTGCTTGTGGCACTGAAGTGTGTCAAAGGGTTTGTTTAGATCATCCTTGTTACCTGCAAGGTTCTGTGCGAAAGTGCCATCAGTTTCCTTTTGTATTGTGCAATTTTTGCCATAGTCGTCGTTTGGTTTTTCTGCAGCTCACTGATATCTTCTGATATTATCTGCAGAGGAGATGGGAGTCAACTAGAAGCCAGAGAGTTTTTGATAACAGAACAAGGTAGGCCTGATTTAAAACTGGAAGCTTCATGACACTACACCACTTAGCAACTTGGTGTCCTTGCCCCAGATGATTTTAGAAAGCTTTCTTCTATCTCTACTGTTCGGCTTTGTATTTATTTTCATACACAACTGGGATTTTCAGAAGGCACTGGAAAATTGGTTGCCCAAAGTTAAAAGTTTCTGCCAATGGACTTAATGGAGTGGGTGTGGATTAGCCTGTAACAAAACAGTGAGCTGGAACCTGAAACAAATGAAAGCCAAACCACTCTGCTCAGTTTTTGGACAAAGATCTATTTAAGGGATATATTAAGACAATGGTTCATCTTTCCATTTTGAACACACAGGGCTAGGCGCATTTAATAGCGCATCCTTGTCAACCGCAAGTCATGATAAAGATGAGCAACCTTACATCTAATCGAGTTTGATGCTGTTTGGTCATCTGATCCTGGACCTTCAATCTTCTCAGCAGTTCCTTGAAACCCACCATTGGCACAGGAATAAGCCTAGAAGAACACAAATATTTCTTACAACATGTTTCTATACTGGACACATCAAACATGATAAGGGTTAATAATTATGAAACAGAATCTAACATAAAGTCACAGATTATGCTGATCTTTTATAAATTAATATATAACCATATCTTCTTTTGCTTAGTTTTAGAGTCCTAACTATTCCCCATAACCTCTTCCTTTTTAATAAAGAAACCAGCCCAATTTATCTGTAACCACTGGAGGGTACAAGGGCGCAGCACCTTCAGCAGAAAAGAGAAAAAACCATAAGGGTTGCAAAAAATAAATCACAATAACTAATCCATGTAACGGAGGACACCACTCCTCTAAGGAACCTAAGTAAGACTCCTTCTCTATCCTGACAGCTCCTAAGCGCCTAAATGGGTAACGGAATTAAGACAGGCACCTCCAGTAATCTTCACTGCTTTCAAGGGGATCAGCACTTGGCCAAGTTGTACTCAAGTAACTTTCTCACAAGTTATCTGAAGGGTACTATGCAATTATTATCTCTTTCTCCACTGTCCAAGCCTTGTTGCAATATTTCAATACTTGAACATACTATTTGACTTACTTTTCAGGATCAGGATTATCAACTTTGGCTTGTTCCCATATAATAGGATCAACACCTAAAAAAAAAATAGGATTTTTAGTAGGGCTATCTGAGAGATATTACAGCTGCTAAAATACAGGAAAAAATACAGGAAAAAATGCTGTGCAATACACAAACCCTATGAACTATGCTAACCCAAATGCCTGTTGCACAAATTAAGGTTAATTAAACTAGGGTAGTTCTTTAAATCTCCTGGTCCTGAGCAGGAGCAGTAAATTCAGATCCAAAAGCTGTCAAGCACTGGTTTGAAAGCAGGGGAAAGGAGTAACCCATAGGTGCTCCCATTGGATAATCCATACTTTAAAGGCAGAAATTCCTACTGTTCCCATTATATGCCACACTTGGGTCATCTGTCCTTTTGAAGTTGCTTATTGTGTGAAACAAACAAATATTTAAAATATCAGTAACTAAGTGATAAAAGTACCAAATCAGTTGGCAAAATAATCTCAGTAGGAGTTAGCTCTGACTTTTCTGCAAGACTAGGCCAAACGCCTTTTCCAATCCAGATTTCATAACCTTTCATATCCTAAACATGGACATATATAAAAGCTATAGATACAAAGGTAAGTCATCTAATCAAATTACATGAAAAGCCCTTAACCACTCTAAAACAAAGCTAGCTAAGAGAGCCATCTGAAAACTGTGAGTATAGGACATGATTATTCTGATTTTTAACTTTTCTTTTTTTCTTATTATTTTCACAGGTGTTTTCCAGCTGACACCAGCTTTTTTCCTGGAGAGCACAGAAGGCCCAGCCCACGCACCGGCAGGAGGGTTCTGCAGGAGCTGCTTGACTTGTGCTGGGGACAGCTCTGTCCTGGCCATGGACAGGCTGACCCCCAGCTGCTGCAGGGATGATTTGATGTTGGCTTGCTCGAAGTGGGCATAGAGGGTCGTTGCAGGAACTCTCCTGGAGGTGCCGTTGGGGGAGCGCTCCACAATGTAAATGATCACTTCTGTCCTGAGCGAGGCAAAATGCGGAACGTCAGGAAAAGGTCAGCAGCACGAAGGAGGTAACACAATACACAACCACCCAAAATCCAAGCTATCACTTCTCCCAGCTGACTTTTAACTTCTTTACCAAGTGAGATGTAAAGTACCAGTAGCTGCAGGGTTTAACACAGCAAGGGAGAGACAGTGAAAAACTATAAATACCATTACATTCTCTGCTCCTCCCAGTTTTACCAACCATATCCTATGGTGATTCTAGTACTACATTAAGAATAACCTAAAATCTCTGGAAAGGCACTGGACTCAATGTTGTAAGAAAAACTATATGAAGGAATAAGAGATACTAATCAAACTCAGGATGAAGAGATCTAAAATCAAGGAGAAGGGGAGATAGTAGACTTAGCCACCAACCCATTCTAACATGCAACATAAATGGGCAACCCTGTGGGAAGTTCACGTACTGGTCATCAGGCATTGTTTTAACACCTTCGACATTGACAGTGAGGGTCTGGTTTCCTCCCAAAATTTTGTGTAGCGATTCTACGAGCTGCTGCTGCTGGCTTCGAATATCTGCTTCTTTTCTGTTAAACACCAGGACCACGAGGCCATCTTCATCTTTGTTGTTGGGCATTAAACTGTAACCCACAGCCTGCCAAGGAACACATAAAAAATGAAGGTAAGTTACTTAGCAAATGCCTATCCTTGTGGCATGAAGAGGAGGGGCTAAATCCCTCTGTTTCTAGAGCAACTGGCTCCAAATTTAACTCACAATTTATTCAAAGCTGCACAAACATGAAACCAATCCCCTTGTAAATCAATCTCTCACACAGCCATCAGTACAGCAGCTTTTGAAACAGTTTGGATTTTTACAAAAAGTTCCTAAGTATCCTTTTTCCATCAGGGGAGTTGCCAACACAGCAGAGCTGACAGCAATCAGGAACATTTTACAAACTGAGCCTTTTTCCAAATTGCAAATGGAACCAGAGGATCAGCCTTATTACAAGCAAAAACAGAGTGGCAGCTTTCACCTCCTCTTGCCTATCAGCTGTCACCCCACGCTGGCACTGGTGACAGGGCAGAGAGTAAGGGTTTGGTGAGGCCCTGACACTGCACGTGGGTGGGTGACCTGCACCTTTCCCCTCATGAAGAGAGAAATGAGTTGGGGATGCGCCCAGGAGCTCGGTTTTGTCAGCAGAGGGTAATCCGCTGCCACAGTGAGCCTCGCAGAACCAGCCATCCTGCCATGGAGCACAATAGTGACAGCTAAGGAAGAATTTGTTTTCAAGCACATGACACCTCTGGTACTTCTGTTTTAAATAAATAACTTCCACAATCTTTTTACGCAACTCAGCAGTTTCAAACTAGAACAGATGTATTTTACTTCACTGTGGTACTTCAAACAACAGCCTGTAACACATAGAGAAGCATGCATTTCTTGGTCTGGAGCTGCATGCTTCTCATGCATCCTAGAGCTGGAATTGTGTACAAGTGGAACCCTTCATATAATGCTTCTTTCTTATCTGATGCCAGGTGTTTCAGTGGCAATAACCAAAATAGCTTATGATGCTCTGCTCCTATCCCTGTGCCACCTTCTCCCCTATTTTTTGCAGGCATCTTCACTGGTGGCACAGATGGAACTTGTCAGTATTTCACTTATGGCACGTGAATTCATGGCATTAGAAATGCTCCAGTCACAGGGCCGACACTAAACCTAGTATCTGGTATTTTCTAACCTGAAGACTCTTCTTTTTAGTAAATGAAACTCTAAAATAGCCGATTTTGTGCCACACAACTTATAATGGGCAATTTTTCAAAGCTCAGAAACTGTGAAAGCAATTTCAGACAACAACTTACAAGAAAAAAAGCTTTCAGTTGCATTGCTAATAAAATGTTCAAGGTAACACTGAAAAAGGTGATGCAACAAAACCAAACATTTTTTAGGCAGGCACAATTGCTGCAAAAACGTTACAGAACTCTCATAATGTACATAATCAACGCTGGACTTAATTCAGTATTAACCTACATTCAGGACACAAAGTTCGCACTCCAAAGGATCAGCTTTGGAGGTGTCGCCACGCCTGCCCCAAATCCCCTTACAAGCCTGAGGCTTAGCAAGACAGTCAGCAAGTGCAGGATTTGTGGAGGATGGAGAGCCACAAATTTGTCAACATGAGAAGCAAGATCTGGAACTGCTGACGAGTCCACACAGGGAATGGAGTCAGCATGAGCACTGGCAAGGATAAAGGCTGGTGGATTTTCAACCTGGCACAGGCCAAGTTCATAGAGGGTTATTTTAATCTAGACAAAGCAGGAAGAAAGACCCTGAAGTTCTTATTCCATATGTTCACAGTTTCTTCCAGACAAGAAGGTTATTTTGAATTGTTTCTGTCTTATTGTAACATACACAGACACACATTAAAATTAATTTCCATAGATCTGTTTGAAGTACACACACACTAACCTGAATGCTAGTACATGAAATTGTTACTTTCATGCTCCACATCTGGGCTCATTATCTAGTCCCTCCACACCACCCAGATTTCCAGCATCTTCGTACCTTTTAATGAGTGTGCATCAGAATTGTGCAGATTACCTGGAAAAATACTGTTTCAGAATACTCTTACCAGTGACAAAGTCTGGTTTAACACCCATGAGCTGCTCAACCTCAGCAGAGTAATGGATTGGCGCCCTCTGCGGGCAGCTGAACCATGCCATACCTTAAACCTGCAGAAGGGGTTTTCCTGCGTGAACTCCACCGGAGCGATGTTGTTGTTGAAGTACCCTTTGCCCGTGCCCCAGAAGGCCTGGAGCTGGTTCCATTTGGCCAGAATGGCATCCCTCTCATCTCCCAGCAGTGTCGGGGCCGAGAGGGCGCTGGCTGTGTTGATGAGCTGGTTGGACTGAGCGGGGGTCTGGGCAGGCTGGTTGAACAACCCAGTGCCTAATGCTGGGTGGGATAAAGAGAAACAAATGAACCCCTTGACCAACTGTGACCATGCTATCACCTATCACTAGCATCACTTCTTATCAGACTCTGAGAAGCAAAATAAAACCAAACAAATAAAGAAATTAAAATCAGATCATGTTTCTTAAGTGTCTTTTTACAGCCATTCATCATATACAACAGAAGCTCCTGAACAATACATTAGAAGAATTTTGGGGTTTTTTTTAACAAGACACATGTATTGATCCATGTCACCATCTATCTGGCACCCTCAATACCTAAATCTGAGAGGCAGGCTGGCTGTTACAAATTCAGTGGACTCAGAGCCTGAAGCTACTTATTATCCAGCTCCCATTTAAATTAACCTCAATGCCTTTTTCCTCCCCTTTCTAGTAATGCTGTGACTGCAACATCAATTCTTTAACTACATTCTACCAGCATAAAACCCAAGGGGTAAATATTGTTGGAAGCTCAAGGGTGAAGCTCAGAGACTTGCTTGAGCTCTAGTTTAAGAGTTTAAGTGTTAAACCACCTCCAGTTACAATACACTTCCGTCCTACTACCGCAGCAACAGAAGATGGCAATCTTGTGCTTTCACTGCTAAGGGATGGGTAAATCCAAAGGCCATACTCACTGGTCTGCTGCTGCTGCTGCTGCTGCTGGGTTCCAAAGCCTCCAAAGCCTAGCCCAGTTCCCAACCCACTGCCCAAGCCAGTTCCAGTTCCTGTGCCAAAACTGGTACCAAATCCAAAGCCTTTGTTCTGGGTACCACCAAAGAGTCCTGCGGAAACAAGTACATGATTACCGAGAAGAAGAGCACAGCAGCCCTGCAACCCAAAGCACTCCTGGATCTGCTCTGCGGGCAGTCAGGCCCTCAGTCCCTTACCGCCGGTGCCGGTGTTGGTGGGAGCAGAGAAGCTGAACGCCGGTGCCGCGCTGGTGGTGGTGGTCCCAAAGCCTCCGAAGGCACCTGCCGAACACAGACTGCGGTCAGGCAGTGGCACACGGCCCCGCAGCTGGGCACAACACAACCAACCGCACCGCCTTGGGGCTCATGGCGACAGGGGCTGACAGATGGATGGCACATGGCACAAGCATGTAGTTCACACTGAGCATGGGCACCGAGCTCATCGCCCAAGGAAATGGGGGAGAAAACATGGATCACAAAGCCACAACTTGTATGGTGTGTCACGAAAGCAAATAAAAAGGCAGCAGTCAACTGACATCTTGGTCCTTTACCAGAGGGATGTGCTTCCCCTAGTGACAGACACCACTAACAGTACTATTTCTTACATTCGTTCTCAGGAATACTTCTGCTCAATGTCACTACTAACTGTTTAATAAACAACTCGATGTTTTGTAAACTTTACAAACAGTCCTAACACCTCAGGAAACCTGAGGCCAGATACACACAGTCGTGTAAATTTCTACAGGGTCATTTTTTTTTAAGCCTTGTTCCCCAATGATCATTCCCGTTACACCTCATTTAGAGGTTCAACCACTAGTAAGATGGATGCAAAAGCAATCGGCCTTCCACAGATTTTCAGGAAAAGCAGTCATTGGCCAGCAGGACAGGACCCAAGTGAGCACCTGAGTTCCAGTGCTGCCAATGGCACTGGCCCAAGGTGCAGCCTGTGGAGCGCTGACCTGCCTGGGAAAGCAAGGTGTCTGTGTCTCATGCTGCTTTTACACGTGCTCAAAAGACAAAAGACAGTCTGCTACAAAGGGTTTGTCTCAAAGATGCTGCCTCTCCTCACTCACATGTCAATAGCAAATAAAAAAGATCTATTACACTCACAGTCCTGTCCACAAATCAAATGAAAAGCATAAATCAAAGCTGATATGCAAGGGCATTTTATTTCCATTCAGCAAACACTTTGATGTGAGTGGGCACAAGAAATTGTTCCTTGTAACACCCATGTTTCAGTCCTGCCAGTGAGCAGGACACTGTGGCAGGAGCACCAGCAGATAACACCATTTTTAGGTACCTTTGCACCCACTGCAAATTTAGTCATTGTTTCTTGAAAAGGGCCTGAGACTACAAATTCAGTACCAAAGAATCAAATTAAATATCAAATGGACTATCCATGGTCTCTTCTGTGTCTTCTCAAATGAAGCCAGTGAAGAGTGTTCACAGCAAATAAACCCAATGAGACCGCTGGAGTGCACAGAACAGATGAGAGGCGCAGACACAGAGAGCAATGACACTGTGGGATGGACGGAATTCCTATACGAGCAGCAGCAACCGGACCCCCTGGCTAATTCCACACCTACACAAGCATTAGAAATCCATCTAGTCCAAAGTTTTCATAGGGAATGGGAAATATTTGAGGTGAAATGACGTCAGCTGATGGCTCAGATCTGATGGATCTCCATACAAAGGGCTTCCTTGGCCACACCCCAGTGCCCGATCCCGTGCAGGCCTCCCTGGAGCACGAGCACCCCTGGAGAGCTGGGGCAGGGCGGTGTTGGGACACCCGGCGGCTTTGGGAAAGGGCCACAGCTGGCTCTGACTTTGTGCCGGTCGTATACAATTCGTTTCTGCACAGAAACTGCTGAGTGTGGTGTGTTCATGACAGCCAACGCAAGGCCGATGAGGAGACACGGGGGAAGATGGAAACATGACTGCAGTAGTCCAAGAATCTCATGTCAGGAAACAGGGAAAAGAGACCAGCTCTGGGATTGTTCGGGATCACCTGGATTCATTCCCGTTCTAGAGACTTTTGCCTACAGGGTTATTTTTCCTCAAAAACTATTCCTCGAGAATTTAACGGGCTAAACCCCTCCCATTCCATTTCCAGAGCTTTTATGGATATGAGGATTAGTAGCGGACACAGATCCCCAGTGAGGGATGCAATTCTTGGACCCCTGCTGTAACATTTACCACAGAACACGTATGGACGCATTATCTACCTGCACTTGCCAGACTGTTACCAAAATTGAAAGCTGGAGTTGAGGTAGTGGAAACACCGAAATTCCCAATATTAAAATTCACCGCGGGATTAGCAGTTAATCCGAAACCCCCAAAATTAAACCCACTGGCAGTGGAGTTTGCAGTTTCAAGCCCACCAAATCCTGACAAGCGGGAAGCAGAAAAAGAGCAAGGCAACATTAGTTCTGAGTGAAAGGCAGGTCCCAGGAGAGAAAAGCTGAAGCATTTTTCCATCACCATGAGCAAGACAGGCAGAGTTAGACACAAGAGTAAAAGGTATTAACTGGCATTAAACATTATTTATTGGACACAAGGAGAACACTTAAAAGCTCAACACACTGCTGCTGTAAAGATATTTTTTAATTATACCGTGCATAAAGCAGCAGCATTTCCCCACCTTATTTCAAAGCCTTATCTCTGTGATTCAATATTCACATTAACAGTCATTTTTAACAGCCTAAGACTGCTCAATACAGCTGCATCTGTGTTAAGTGTAACAGATAATGTCAAAATTAATTCATAAACTATCACGAAGGCAAGAGTAAATCATCTTCATACAAGTAATACACTCAGATACATGACAGCAAAATAACCACAAAACTCAGCTCCAGCAGATGAGGCACCACACAAGCCTCAGCTACTCCAGGGCAGACTTATCCAAGTTCTATTGCCAAAATCTGCCCACCTCAGCCTTGCTGGATTTACTGATGCACCCAGCACCCCTGGGATGCAGCTGAAACAGTTTCATGCAAGACAGACAACGGGAAGTCCTGAGGAGTGATCCCAGATTTCCCTCTGACATTGGTCTGTGAATGTCATAAACCTCGCCACAATGTACAGGCAGCACAAAGCAATGTTTTACTTTCAGATGGGGCCAGAAAGAGTGTTTGTAAAAGAGACGGTAAAATTCAGGCTAACTAGAGCAAAGATGAGTCCCGTCCAAAGGAGTTTGGAGTCAACAATTAATTATTTTACTAACTGAGGGCAAGGAAAGCTCTGTCTTACATTTCACCATGACTGACAGTGACAAAAGCAGAGGAGGAAAAGTCTAACTTTACAAGTTAACCGCTGTCTTTTACCTTGCTCAAAAATGAATTTACAAGGGCATCTCGTCCAAACGATGAATTTATTGCAAGAAAATACTGATCCGAGGGACCTGACTACCTCATCACAAGCGCCTCAAGAGCCGCTCCCGGACCCACTGGGGGCCGCGTGGGGCGCGGGACGGCGCCTCTGAG